ACGTGTTTCTCAATATTTAAACTATACAACTATGTATGCAGGGTGGCCTCATCATTGTAATTTCGTTGACTGTTAGAGATACAGTGTCGGTTGATTTGTTGCAATATCATGCTCGACAGAACTCTGCTTCAAAACTTGGAAAATTCCGAATACTTTCGGAGATATCCGAAAAAAACTAAATTTTTCGAAACCTCCATTTATTTTCAGTTATTTGAAGAAATTTATCGAAATGATGACACTTCATCACACAAGTTGGGGTTTCCAAAAGTCAAATCTGATCGACCTTCCATCTTCCAGAAAGCATCATCAGCTGTTTTTCAATATACGGACTTGGATTTTTCATTTTATTCTTGTTACCTTCGAATAGTCCGAAGCTATGAGGTACCACAAATCTTCATTTTCGAATGTTTCTTTCAAAAAAATCGACAGTTTTCTAATGAATATTGAAAAAATAATACAGAATCTGTGAATTTCTGTAAACGAATCATTCGAAAATTCGAATTTATGATAGCTCATAGCTTATGGGCTATCCAACGGTAGGTAATAGAAAATTGAAACTCTGCATATCACTGAAAAACGAATTCACATGAAAATGGCGTATGTACGATTAACGTTGCGCTCTTCGGCAATTTTCATTATCTTCGACATGAAGGTGGGTATGGTGTAAATTGAGCATATTGTGGGAATTTGGCATCGCGCTACGCACTCAACTAGGCGACCAATAAAAACAAAGTTCAAAGAGCACCTCTGTGCTATGTAAGGTTGGATATATAAATCCAGTGTATCCGAACACATTTTCAATATCAATCATAACACACATTAATAACCTCAAAGTAATCAAGCAATTTAATAATGTTTTAAAATATATGCATATGAAACCCTAGTAATATTTGAGGATAATAAGATAGTTATACCACCACAGATAGAGAGATTGAACAACTACTTTCCCCTCTATCAAATTCACTTTTGATAGCGAGAATAACGGTCGCGCTCTTAGATTTTCATGTGATCAGAAATGGGAAGAAAACTTGAAATTTGATGTTTTCAAAAAATGAATTAACACACTCAGATACAAAATCAATGACTCTAATCACTGTTTTTAACACGAAATGACAAATTTGAATTTTCTATCAGATAGATTAGATTCATTTCCTCTAAACAAAGACAGATTCGATGTTGGAAGAAGTTGATGATGAAGTGGCTGGCGTCAATGATCATGATATCAAAATAGTAGATTATTCAATTCGTAGACATAATTTCAAGTTAACCCTTCGGGATTCTACAACTTTTCAAGGGGATAGAAACAATTCGAGTAGAATCATAATCCTGTTCAATCCCAAGTATATATACGAAAGGATATGATAAGGATTTCAAAGACAGGATCTGAAAGCCTCTGCCAGCCTGGGACAAAATCAGACAATCCAAAAGATGAAGTCGACACTCTTAGGCGACCCATAAAAACAAGGTTCAAGGAGCACCTAGCACATATGAATGATGGTAGGTTGAATAAATCGAAATAAGCTCGAATCAGTAAAACAAACTGTTACGTCTACAATGGATAAAAATGATATTTTATATTTCTCAAGACAGTGATTGAAAAGTTATTTTTCTACTAGCGTGCGTGATTCACCCTATACCCGAACGCAATTTAGTTTGGAAAGTGTAATTTTCCCGCAACACTGCGGGAAAATTTTCCCACACTAGTGCGGGAAATTTTTTCCCGCACTAGTGCGGGAAAACAAAGATATGATGAAATCGCTAGTAATATAAGTGGTTGGTGATGGAATATAGAAGTTTTAGTTTGTTTGTTGCAGTATTAAGTATGTATGTTCAGAATCATCCATCAAATTGCACAATTCATTGTAAAATTTAAGAAATATTGAGAAATAAAAATGGATTATTATAAAAATCCCCCTATAGATTTGGATTGATCTGACGGGAAACGTCAATTTGTCATGCCAATCAAACCTCAAATAAGTTTGAAATTGTCGAAGTGACAGAAACAGCGTTACTGTCATTTTCGATTCAGTGGAAATGCCGCAATGTGATCAAAAACTTCTAGCTATAGGGATTTGATACAGATGCGGTTAATATCACCAACGAAGTCTTAAGAAAGGTATGAGAAGCTATACACGCGTTTTATTGAATGGTGCAACAATAAAGAAATGAAAAAACCTAATGAAGAATAGGTATTTTTGGCTCATTCCATAGAAGTGTCTGGAACCTAGAGACCAAACTCCTAATGGGCCTGCTGGCTTCCGCAATGAACCAACATAATGCGTCAAACTGTAAGTTCACAATAGCTATTACTAATAATTAATAGATAGAGAATATATATCTCTTGTTAGTTGTTCCTATTTGCTTGAATAATTAATTGAACGATTCAATCAATTTCCTACTTACGCTTGTAGAAAAAATATTGTTCCTAACTCATGCGGAAAGTTTCTTTCCCGCACTCGACTGCTTGCCCGAACTCCGCTTCGCGTCGTTCGTGTCAACGGCAGTCACGTGCGGGAAAGAATCACTTTCCGCACTTGTTAGGAAAATTACTATTTTTTTATTAAATAATTGACAATGACATCATGTACCACTAAAATAATGATTACTGAATCTACGGAGTTGATACAGGATGTATGTTTGTTCTGCCTATATCTCCCTTCTTTTAATGAAGACTGTAGTCTTCTAACATCCTAGGAGATCGACGTACTCTCATTGACCGCCTATGAAGTGGCTGGGTGTTAACTTGCTCGCTAGATGGTCCCTGTTCACTTGGTTGATCTTGTTCAACATCTTGAACTCCTCGATCATCATGCTGAACAGGTTCTTCCAATATATCGACCGATTCACTTGGATAAGTCTTTGCAGCACTGGCTGATGGTTTATTGGAAGTTCCGCCGGTATTTTCGTCGTTACATTCCTGGTTATCATCACGATTTTGTAAACCGAATGATTCGATGAGAATATTCAACGGAATTCTAGTTGATTCACAGGATGGTAGTGTTTCAAGTTGCTCACTTCGTGAACGGAGTTAATTTGCATAAGATCTTATGAGGTTACCTCCTCTACTTGTTTCAAGAAGGACATTATACATCACGTTGCCAATCTTCTCAATAATTTCTCCAGGAGACCAGTGGTATGTATTGTTTCTGTAAACTTTGGCGTAGACTAAATCTTTTGCTGAATATTTCCTGAATCACACAACATATGTTTTTGATTAAATTGGAGATCTTGTTTCTTCCCAGTAGTACCATCACAAATATCTTGCTTGCACCGAGGTGGTTTGATCAGATCTAAAGTGGTGCGGACTGGATGTCCTAGTAGAAGCTCAGCTGGCGATCTTCCATATGGTGCACTTCTATTCGGGGTGGAACGATACGTTGACAGGAACAGTGTCAGCTGCTCTCCTATATCTTCCCCCTGAATTTTCTTGATTCCTCGTCGCCAAAACTGTTACGTCTTCAATGGATAAAAATGATGTTTTATATTTCTGAAGACAGTGATTGAAAAGTTATTTTATTTATTGAACAATTGCCAATGACATCATGTACCACTAAAATAATGATTACTGAATCTACGGAGTTGATACAGGATGTATGATTGTTCTGCCAATACAAACTGAAGTTGGTAGGAAATTAGATGCATATGAGAACCTTAAAATATTTAAGAATAATCAGGAGTGTCAGGAATAGCCCTCTGTTCAGTTCAGTGGTATGGGATTGAGGTTGATATGTGAACTCAACCATGAAAGACATTAACTTGCTCCGTCTCGCACAAGCAAATTTCGCTTGTCAAACAAAGTGTCACCTTTAATTCTACTTAAACAATGTTCTATTTTGTACATTGAATCTCTTGATACAGTAGAATTTTATTTTTTCATCATCCTACTACATCAATCGATCGATTCAACGCACTGTTGTGTATGGGTACCTAATCCAGAATCATATAGGACTATATTTTGGTAAACTGCAGTGTCAATTGGGGTTCACTAATGACAAAACAAACATTTAACTATGGAATATGCGAGAAGTATTTCCATAATATTTCAAAGTTGAATGTTTGTTATCATGTTGTTAGTGAGTTTATCAAAATATTGTCTTATGATTCTAGTATGTTCTATAAGAGTTGATTCTGAAATGTTTCTTTCCTTTCAATTGACTCGGCCGTTACTTAATGGAAATCCATGGCAAAATTGGAAAACTCAAACACACGATATGTTTCGCTAACACAGTAGCTTCATCAGTTGAAATACTGGTACAATAAACTAAACTAACCTTGGCTCGTCTAACTTTTATGTATTCTACTTTCCCAACCTGAAGGATTGGTTAGGTTAGGTTAGGTTCGATAAACCTTCATTTTCGGAAATTAGACACAATATCTACATTGAAATACGTTGTATCGGATTAACCTGAAAGGGTTGATAGAATATACATATTATTACCTACTAAGAAAACAAATTCAACAGTGGTGAACTATTAATTGAGGTCTACTTGATCGTTAACTAAAATGTCAGAATTTTTTGAGATTCATCATCAATACTATGGTTTGATTCTAATATATGCTTGGCGTAGTTGAATTTGTTTTCTTTAAAAAAAAATCATCTTATGTTCATGACATGAAAAATATGATTTTATTTCCAAAAAAAAAATATTTTTCACTTTTTATAGCAGCTCTGAAGGGACATTGTGAAAAATATGATTTTATTTATGTGAATAAAATTATATTTCTCCGTCCCGATTGTCCCAGGTCGACGTCCTGCGAACGTTCTTAGAAAGTACATGTGTTATCTGGGTACAAATCTTTTTATATGGTAGTTTTTAAATAATTTTTGATTAAATTTGCAATATTCTTGAAATGCTGCTTTTGCTCATCCAATGGTATAAAAAACTATGAGTACAAAGATTCAAACGAGTAATGCTATGTGATTTCAAAAGAGTTTAGTCATCCTAAAATTCCACTGCTTTATTCGAAATTGAACGCTTATTCTATTACATTCCAATCGGTCATTCCAAAACCAACTGATCAGCTTCTTGTTTTGGATTCGTGGAGGCGTTCGTTGATTTTTCACTGGAAACAACCGATGTTGCTCGGTAGAACTGCGTTTGTTTGATGGCCGCGTACAAACACAATAGCAGATGAATCGAATGGATCTTCTTCTTAGCTGATGGTATTTGAAACAGATTACAAAGCGTATCGATATACTCTGATAGGGACTTGTCGTTTGGTTCCGGAAACCCTTCGCTTTTCAATTTACTTTCTATCTCTTCAGGCCATTCCTGCATTAGGTCGTCTAGTTCTGGCATAGGCCTGAAAAATAATACTTAATCAGAATACGTGTCCAATGTACAGGTTTCGATACTGTAGGATGTGATTTCATAGCTTAGAATACGTAGAAGTGTGATGCAAGATGAGCCCGAAAATGGGGTTTTCTGTGATTCTCGAGGCTATTCATCACATCGCTTATAGTGTTTGATGAAAAATTGAGAAGACACATCCTGATAGTGTTGAGAAACCATATATCATGACATTTTGCTACAAATACGAAATGTTTAATTTTTAAGAGTTTGACGTTCAAGAATTGATTGTATATCTTGCATCTCCATAATTAGGGGCTTTGGACACACTGACTGACTAAGAAAAAAACGCCCCAAGTCATAGCGCCGCTATGCCGCTATTGATTATCCGATTTTGAAAAACAGTTAGCGACACCAAGGTCATTAGATGACGTTGCGTTGACATCGAAAACTTCGGGAAAACATGTCTAACTTTCAATCTATGGCAGGATTTAGGATGTAACGGACACACATTTGAATGACATGTCATTGCAACGTCATCTAATGACCTTGGCGACCGCGAATAATGCAAATGAAATAATCCATCAGATACTATGAGTAGGCTCTGATCATTTTTTTTATCAGCTCTAATTGTAACGTCACCAACAGTCAATTATTATTTTCCAAGTCAGTTTTATACAGGGTATTTTCCTGTCAAAATGTGAATTACATTCAGAAAACCTTACACTGATTTCAGTTTCGTCATGAGATACTTTACCGCACTTGTGCGATAAAGTAATGAGAAATAATTTCGAATTCCAGATTTTTTACTCAAAAAAAAAAAAAAGAACTAATTAATCATAAATTGGGCAGGTACTAGAGTTTCAATAGCTTCATTCGCTGCAATTTCTATATTTGTATTTTTACAAAATTGAAATGAACGCATCGAAGTTGACAGTTTACGGAATGAGTGACAACCAAGAATACAACAAATTCACGACCATTCACGACAAGAAGTAAGTATACACCGTGGAGTACAGCCGACCCAATCATTGCAACGCTTCCTTGTTACATATTTCCAATAAATCATTGATTCAAGGAATATTGATTATATTTGATTAAATAATTAGCGTTTCAGGTAGTACGTAAATTACTGTACAATGGGTTATCAAACTCGTTTGACAAATTTCCCATCTCATATCTTAATATGAGTGTTTACGGTACTTTGTATTGTGAATATCTATCACAAACGATTCATTTCGAAATATTATGGACAAGAAAATAAAAACTACTAAAACCAACTCTGATGGGGCGTGTATGTAACAGCTAAATGGAATGAATTCAATATCTTTCGTACCAAACATATTTCCAATAAATACCCAATTCTTCGTTTGGAGACACTTTTTTTTGAAACCTAATTTCGAAAATACGGAATGATCTTCAGTCTACGGAAATATATATGCGAAACACTCTTCCATTTTCCCCACTAATGAGTGTGACGGAGAACAAATGAAGGGTCAAGTGGAAGAAGGAATTATGTTAGAAATATGAGTTTGCGAGAAAAATAGGTTTTATTAAAGTAATCTGGCATTTTCAACGGGAGCCAGTTCAATAATTCAGTTCATGCAATTGTGAGGAATAGTTCTAGGTTGATTTCTTGTGATTAACACAATTTTGCTGTCATATCATTTATTGATAGACATCTGGATTTATGCGTTCATAACCCCTTCTTCTATTACCTGACATGTAGGCAATGGGCTCATAGCCCCTTCCTCCATTGCGATGTTTGATGTAACATAGCCCCATCTACCACTGTAAATTCAACCAGATATTAGAAATAGAAACAAATCCTAGCAGGGCAAATAACATATGCACCATACACCTTTTCCATGACATAAACGAATATTGTCGGAAGAAGTTACTTGACCCCTTCTTTCACACGCCTCTTCAAATGATTTCAAACATGTAATTCCAACTAGCAGTCACACTACTTTTGGTAAATGGAAGAGCCTTTTGACTATACAGGGTGATTCAAGTTACAATGCCGGGATTGGCGCATTGGAAGAGCGCCCGTCTCACGACCGCAAGGTCGTGGGTTCGATTCCCAGCACGAGCAAGGAACTTTTTTCAATATTTTATTCATGAATTAAATATTGTAAAGTTTCGGAGCATCGGCTGGGGATAGTCCTGCACGATTCGCTGTTGCGTTCCAATCAACAGTGCTGCTCCTAAAGTGGCGCATGGAGTTAGTAACAAAGCCTACACAGAACACGCAGAAAGATATGATGATGTGGTTGTGCGCATCAGAGAATAAGTAGGACGGTGTATGTAGGTGGGTGTGGAAAACTACTAGCTGAGCGTGAGAGCGGGCCAGCTGCTTAGTCGACCCCAGTCTCTAACGGGGGTTAACGAGGATAGCTAGCAGGCCTGCTACTGCGCATATGGTAGTGAGAACAATACTAGCCTACAAAACACAGCCGAAAAACTCTGAAAGAGAGCTGATGGGCGGTGCCTGAAAAGGATGTTAGCCAGCTCTCTTGAGCGAACCACATCAGTCATTGAAAACACTTGGGGTTTGCAAAAAGGTCCCATTAGGGACTAGTTGCTGACGTGCAAACGTCCCCCACCAGTACCAGTACCAGTACAAGGTCATTAATCTATGTACAAACTGAAATGGGTGATAGATCTCATCATTTTGATAAAAAAAAGTTCATATAAACATGTGTTCAATTTCGATAAGTAGTGGAGCTACAGGGGGTCAAAATTCAATTGTTATTTTCTATTAATTGAAATATTGTTACGTTATTCGGCTGCAGAAGCGAACACGACACTATTTATTTTCGAACTGATTTATTTGAACTGAAGAAACACTAATTTATATCGAACTTATAACTACTATTTATGTAAAACGACGCGGTATATAACTGTCTCTCTGACACTCCTTGTTTGACTGACTGACGGCAGTTATTCGGCCGTTTATATATGAGATTACTGGGCAGGCTTTGGTTCGAGAACCTTCTCGAATGATCTTCCGTCTCCTTCTTTTTGTTCTAGAAGCTTCTTAGAACAAACCTCTCTCTCTAATTGTTCCATCGATTGTTTCCAGAACATTCCAGAATCTTCTGTAACGTTATCTGTCACTGCGGCATATATTGAGTGTTCGGAAATATGCTAGTGCATGTAGCAATCATTGAGAGGTAGGAGAGCAATCTGGGATGCGTGATACGGGATGATGGTTGTACTCCTGCCTTCCTGCTCTGATGTTTCTAAAGCCCCTCCAAGGGGAATATCATTACACTGCCCCCTCCTTAAAACGCATTCCTCCTGGAATGCATTCTGATCACTATGAAGATAGGGACAACTGGTTTTATTTTTACAACGTGCAGTATGGTAGAAATAGCATGGCACTGTCTTCTCTCTTGGAGTTCCCTTGGAGTTCCAGCAGCATACCAGAATTTCAACTCCAGTGAATCTAAATAAAACCTCTAGCATGTTCCTTACAATTCTCCAATTCAAGCCATCCAGTCCACACCCCAGCTTTGGAACAGCTATCTTCTGTATGTCCTTCTCGAGTATGATGCTTCGCAAGTCGACTAGTGTCTCCCAGAGGTCCTTGTAAGTGGGTTTCTCAGAAGATCTTCCTTTCGTTATAAGATAAAACAGAATTCTTTTTCCTTCAGCAGTGATATCTTCTATTTCTAGTGCTCGACCGACGGAGGGACCTTGTTGATGAAACCCCTCTAACTTCCTGAACTTCCTCATGAACTTGTTCGCTATTCCTTGAGACATCTGAAGATCCTCGGCGACGCAGTGAGCTAGTGCGTATTCTACAGGAATGGCAAAAAGGTCGCGGTGCTCGTCCTTGGTGACGCCAAACCTTGCTTTTGATGAACCACTGTATGTCCCAATGAATTCGTCGAATGTAAGCTCCTTTTCTTCCGGACAAATCTGTTGAACTTGTTGATCTTGTGTTCCCTCGAATGGTGCTAGTCTGTTGAAATGAACGACTCTTGGTTTGCCACTGGGTTCTTTACTGATGCGGTAGATGACATCGTTGATCTTCCTCTTGACGGTATAAGGTCCTTCCCAAGATCTCTGTAGTTTTGGACAAATACCTCGATTCCTTTGTGGATTGTACAACCACACCAGGTCTCCTTCTGCGTATCCTGCACCCCCAGCTCTGATGTCGTATCGGTCTTTCATGCGATCGCTGGCGATTTTCAGATTAGAACGAACCGATTAGTGAATATCGTTCATCTTTTTCATCAGATTCGTAACGTAATCTTCCCCCACTATGTCCTCACCAGGCCTACATCCGAAGACCAAGTCACATGGAAGCCTCATCTCTCGTCCAAATAGAACCTTCGCCGGAGTCTGTCCTGTAGATTCCTGTACTGCAGATCTGTAGGCCATCAAGAAGAAAGAAAGATCACGAAAATCTTTATGAAAAACTCCATAATATTGGCATACAAGAAAATTCGCTGAATTGGCTAAAAACTTTTGTCTCAACACGAAATAGATATTTACGTAATCAGTTAGGAAACGCGTTGTTTTGTGTAACAATGGGATTTTGCGGGACGAGCGAAGCTAGATCCCGCAACATCACAGAGTTACACAAAATGGCGTTTCCTAACGTGTCACGTACAATATTTTTTCTAATTTTGACGAAACATTTCGCATGAGCAAAAATAATGACCAGTTTTACATGAGTTCTGCCGACTCTTCACAAAATTTAGTAGGCTAGTTGACTTCACCTGCCACTTTGAAGTATCCGTCAAACAACAATACGGTCACAAACTAGCAACGAAATAGAATCGTTTGATGTTTTTATAGGTGAAAAATGTCCGATTCAAGTTCTGATTTATATGTATAGCTACAGATTTGAATCAATTTCTTTTCGTCTATCCATATTCCTATTTCGTAACTGGTGTTGAAATGAACATTACATCACCAGTTATGTAAAATTTCACTTTACGCAACTGGTTACGTAAAGTAAGACGTTTCAAAACTTCCGTCAGTTTTGAAAAGTTTCAAATTATATGTCGAAATTAGAAAAACAATTTGTCAGTATCATGAATGTTAATAACGACGTGAAAAGATCATATACATCCAATTATGTGGATATTAATGTTGGTGTCCCTCAGGGCTCAGTGCTGGGCCCAGTACTTTTTTTGTTATATGTGAACATCTCCAAAGAGGCTCATTTCACATTATATGCAGATGATACTTCACTTGTTATATCAGATAAAATAGATCAAAATCTACAAATTAAAGGTAACTTAATTCTACAAAATTTAAATACCTGGTTTAAGGAAAACTCCCTATATCTGAATAATCAGAAAACGCACTTGATACGATTTCATACTAGACAAAAAAAAGTTGCCAGTCTCAACTTGAAAATTGAAGATGATGAAATTTCTCCGTGCTCAACGGTGAAGTTTTTAGGTGTACACTTGGATGAATTTCTCAGCTGGAAAGTTCATTGTGGAACAATTATATCAAAACTGAACTCTATGAATTTCCTTCTTAGAAACCTTTGTCATATTCTCGAACAAAAACAGCTGATTATGCTGTATTATGCCCAAGTCGAATCCCGCCTTCGGTATGGTATTACTTTCTGGGGGTCTTCTTCCTCATGCAGAGATGTTTTTGTCGCCCAAAAAAAAATTATAAGATGTATAGCAGGAGTCTCGAGAAGAACAAGCTGCAAGAGCTTTTTTAAAAATTTCAAAATACTAACATTACCGTGCTTGTATATATTTGAATTATGCGTTTTTGTATTTGACAACCGTAACTGTTTTGTAAGGAATGAAAATGTGCATACTATTAATACTAGATCTAAGACAGACTTTTATGTACCATTTTGTAAAAACTTATTGACCTATAATTCTCCAAATGTGATTGGGCTCAGATTATTTAATCTGCTCCCCATTGAACTGAAAAACTCTAGTACTATTTATAGCTTTAAAATTGCACTCAAGTCATTCCCTTTAGAAAAAATTATTACTCCATTCAAGAAATGATTGAATAAGTATTTGGTGTTGTAATCCATTTTAAACTAATTGTCCTTGAATAATGTGTTTATGTGTTACTGCTTGTGAAATTTCTACTTACTTATTTTAGCTTTTATTGTTAAGGTTCTTTCGTGACTAATCCTACACAATGTAACATTTGATTGTCTTACAGGATGATAAAAATTATTATTATTATTATTATTATTATTATGTCGATCCCAGTCTTGTTGGTGTTGATCTACAACTTTACAGAGATACCTTCCTATGGTTCTGTTCATTCGCTCCACCATGCCATCTGACTGTGGATGCAATGGAGTTGTTCTTGTCTTCTTGATTCCTAATTTCTCGCTCATCTTCTTGAAAACTTCACTCTCGAAATTCCGGCCCTGATCAGAGTTCCAATGGCACCCCAAAACGACTGATGAGTTGATTCATTAGGACATCAGCGACAGTTACGGCTTCCTGGTTAGGGATCGCATACGCTTCCACCCACTTATTGGTGAAGTAGTCCATGCAGACAAGGATGTATTTATCTCCATTATCAGTCACTGGAAACGGCTCCGCAATATCCATGGCAATCCTCTCGAAAGGGCCCTTGGTTTACGATGAGGTCCATTGCTGGCAAAGCACACGGTGCATTTACGGCACCACTCCCTGACGTCGTCACTGCAGTTCACCCAGTAGAACCGCTCTCGTACGCGCTGCAGCGTCTTCCTCACTCCTAGATGTCCCCCTGAAGTTCCATCATGTACATATCCAAGTACTTCCGACACTCGGCTCCTAGGAATGACCAACTGCATCCGATTATCCAACCCATCATCGCTCTCGAGATTCCTCTTGAGCAGGTCATCTTCTAATACCAAGGAGTCCCACTGACTCCAGTACGCCTTCAAAGTCTGTGAAGATGGTGCTACTTCTTGCCAAGAAGGACGACGATTCGCTTTCTTCCATTCTCGAAGCTTGCGAAGTTCTGGGTCCTTTTCTTGCTCTTGCTTGATTGCTGCAGGTAACCAATCTTCATTGACAACGGTGGTTCTGTAGAGGGCTGCTTCCTTATCCTCCAAACGACTACAATGTGAGCACTCAGGTGGACATGGCCTTCTGGACAATGCATCTGCATTCTTATGACTCGTCCCCACTCGGTAAACTGGTCTTTTTGGATCATCCCGCTCTAGATTTCCTGCAGCTGGGACTGTCCGCTATGTTCGTGCTGTCATCGACGGCTTGGAATTTTGTTGCTTCTCGTGTAGCTTCTATCGCGGCCTCGATTTCTAGCGCAGCTGCCAGAGCACTGGGAGAGTCTTTAGGTCGAGTCAACCGAACCGCTTTCCGCATTTCCATATCTCGCAATCCATCCAGGAACGTTTGGACAGCAAGACAGTCTATCAGATACTCAGGAGCTGATGGGTAGGCACACCGAACCAACCGAGCTACTTCCATTTCAAATTCCTGTAGGCTCTCATTGTCTCCCTGTCGACGGTTCTTCATTTGTGATCGTAAAACTTGCTGTAGATGTTTTTGACCATAGCACATGATGTTGAGGCGTTCGATGAGATAATCGTAGTTATCGGATTTATCTTCCGGAATGGCTCGCAAGATGTTTAGTGCATCACCCCGTAGAGCTACTGTGAGAGCTACCACTTTGTCTTCTGATGTCCACCCATTGGCTTTGGAAGCTGCTTCGAATTGCTTCAGGTAGTTTGGCCACGATGTTTTTCCATCGAATGTAGGCGGCTTCACTCGATTGGTAGTATCCACTGCATCCGGCCCTATTTTTGTTTCCATCACGAGTCGTTGACCATTTCCTGACTCTTCCATCGCAGCTCTCCTGCGAGATTGTGACTTCAGTTCATCTATTTCGAGCTGCAGTTCTTTCTTCAGATCTTCTATCTGAGTCGCGGCTTGAGCTGTTATCTGAGCCAATACCTCCTGCCGTTGAGCTGAGATCTGAGAGGCGATCTGATCTTGCTGAGCAGAAATCTGTGCCGAGATCCCACCCAACATCGATTCTGCTGAAGCTGGTTCCTCGAAGGTAAACGTCTCTGGATCTTGACCTACGCTCACCATATACTCTTCGAGACGATGCTGAAGTGTAGCCTTGATCCCTGTTGTGTCGAGATCTCTCTCCTCCAACTCGCGTTTCAAGTCCACCACTTTTAACTCGTGTAGTTTCTTCATTGCAATGGTCTGTTCACTTCACACTGGAATATCCCACTTCTGACACCAATTGTTACGCTATTCGGGTGCAGAAGCGAACACGACACTATTTATTTTCGAACTGATTTATTTAAACTAAAGAAACACTAATTTATATCGAACTTATAACTACTATTTATGTAAAACGATTTATAACACGCGGTATATAACTGTCTCTCTGACACTCGCTGTTTGACTGACTGACGTCAGTTATTCGGCCGTTTATATATGAGATTACTGGGCAGGCTTTGGTTCGAGAACCTTCTCGAATGATCTTCCGTCTCCTTCTTTTTGTTCTAGAAGCTTCTTAGAACAAACCTCTCTCTCTAATTTTTCCATCAATTGTTTCCAGAACATTCCAGAATCTTCTGTAACGTTATCTGTCACTGCGGCATATATTGAGTGTTCGGAAATATGCTAGTGCATGTAGCAATCATTGGGAGGTAGGAGAGCAATCTGGGATGCGTGATACAGGATGATCGTTGTACTCCTGCCTTCCTGCTGATGTTTCTAAAGCCCCTCCAAGGGGAATATCATTACAATATCTTTCTCACTATTGAAGACATCAATTTGACATTGGTCAATACTTCCTAGAAGGTCATCATTTCAAGCATTTTGAAGATTTTCAATATCTAAAAGGTTATAAGTTTCAGGGGGTAGAGGCTTCTTTATCCCCCCATAACATTTTCGTAGTACGCCTCTGACATCTTTTAGTTACCTAATTGGGTGGATCATTGAATTCAGAGGCTTTTTCTACTCCTCAATTTTTTTCGTTTACGTGACGAATAGCTTGAAGATATTTTGTGGACTGATACAGCCACATCCACCAGAAGAAGGGTGGTGAATCAACATGACTTGCATGTGGCTTAATTATTACCTAATGTCATTTGTGGATCGTACTTTCTTCCCGATATGTTGAATGCCATATTGTTTTCATTTTTTCAATGATATTAGTCGAAATATGAGACAATAAATATGGATACAACTGGATGGAGCTTAACCAGTGGCTCAACACATTTTTTTTGCGTCGTTGAATTTTGGTTTCGTCGTTTGAAAAAAACTTGACCTTCTACTCTCTCTAAATTCCCGCTACCTATCTAGATTGGACTGATGCTTAAAAGCATTGCGATTTGAATATATTTGATTGCATTTTAATAGGCAAGAATACTATTTGAGCGAAACATTGGCCCAATCTTGAGCAAAATCAACATGTTTTAGAAAGGATATGCTTATATATCTCGAAAACGGATCGTTTCTCGAAAAAAATTTAGGAACAAAGGAACATAGATCTAAAGAAACTTCGAAATTGACAGAATCATCCAATTCGGTAACTGGAAGATGTCACAGGGGTACTACGAAAAAGTTTTGGGGTGATAAAGAAGCCTAACCCCAAAAACGTATATCCTGTAGATATTTAAAATCTTCAAAATGCTTTAAACGATAACCTTCTAGAAAGTATTATCCTCACTTAATTTCAAATTGATATCTCCAGAACTGAGGGAGATATTTCAATTAATATAAAAAATAATTAAACTTTGATCCCTTTTGATCGGGATCGGACTTATGTTTATATAAACTTTATTGATTGAAATGATGAGATATTAGTATCAATTCTAGTTTATTTATATTATATTTTACAAGAAATACTTACTCGGAGTATCGTACTACTGGAGATGATTTAGTTTTGTGTAAATCAGATATATCCTTTATCCACTTCTCGATTATTTTGGCATTTTGTTCAGTATTATCCACTTTCTTGACCACCTTAAACAGAATTCGTGTGAAATGTAGGTACACCTATCTGACTCAGTATCAAGTGGAGGTATTTTAATAATGTAGGTAATGAACTTTCTATCATTTTCCAGATACACCAATAACAGAAATAGTTTCTAATTCACAACATTGACAAACACAGCATGTTTTATTTTACAAGCTCTGAGGAATGATATAACTCCCATGTCAATACTCAGGAAGATGGTTTGCTTTCAAATTCACGATCTTTCAGTGAATATTGAATACTTTTGAGACAAAGCGGTACACAATCCGGTGGAAGTTTCTACTGTCTCATCCCGTTCCCAAGCTAGTGCCTTTTGAGGATTCTTCAGACCTCTGGGTTCCAATGCTATAGGTCTATGAGATGAGAATTTAATTTCTGTAATCGCACCATGTAGAGTAAATTTGGTGAATATGCCGTGCTGGGTGATTCGCAGCGGTTTGATATTTCCGTTCCAAGTCAACAATGTTCATTCAGCCATATTAGTTTCAGACAGAAAACACAAGTGAATGATGGAAGAATCGAAAATATCAGTTTTTCAGTGAATAACAGCAATATAAATGTTTGACCGCCCTGTATTATATCTATCATTTTAATCACCCTATGCAAGATGATGTTTCTTTTGATTAGAGAAGTCGAAATATTTTGATGTTTGTGACTTTACTTGTCAGTGATTTTTATAGAATAAAAAGTATTTTTCGACCATATCAGACAAATCTTTGATTCAAAAGACGGCGAACTAACATTGGTCCTTCGATCCCGACGTATCAGTTCTGTGAAAAAGCAAGATCCAAGACAAATATACCCATTGATGCCTAGTACCAGACAAACAGCAGGTACCCATAGCAGACTCGACGAAAATTTTGAGTGGCCACCAGTTTTTGGCAAGGGAAAAATAAATATCACTGCCAGTGTCAGAAATAACGGATTGACAATTTGACTTCAATGAGAAACATGGATGATGGACATGATAATCCCGCTGATGACAAGGAACACTCACGAATAGACAGACCGAGTGAACTTCCGACGTCAAAAAGCCAAAATGATATTGCCTCATCCATCCAATCAGTCCGCACGATGAAATCGAAAGCTATGAGTGAGAATCTACAGAAAAAAATATGTGCTCTTGAAGTTGAACGAATCAAACAAGCCATCGCGATAAAGAAATTAGAGAATCAACTGAAGATAATGGAATTGGAAAACGATGTACGAGAAACGGAGCTTGCAGTGGAAGAACGTCTATCAGCAAGGTCAGATCGATCAAATATTCCACTTCCTACCGAAGCATTTGCCCCTAGAGAGACCACTATGAAGTGGGTGAATGAAATTAACATTCCTGTGAGTGAAAAAAAATGACAATCAGATGATTTAGTAAATCCTCAACCCTAACAACAATCTGAAATAAAACAATCATGCAATACCATCAGTGAAGCCATAAAATCCGTTCCTATCATATCAAACCAAGACCGATTCATAGCTAGACAGGTAGTAGAAAAAGACTTTGGCTATTTTGATGGAAATCCTGAGGATTGGCCTACCTTTTCTTCTCAATTCCGTCGTATCTCAAGACTTTGCCAATACTCTTCAGAAGAGATGATGATAAAATTGCAGAAATGTTTGAAAGGCGAAGCTAAACTGGCCGTTGCTGGAATGATGGGATCACCAGATGATATTGATTTGGTTTTACGCACTCTGGAAATGAGATTTGGAAGATCGGACCAAATAATAGACCTGCTCATTTCAAGAATCAAGTGTCTTCCATCATTGCGAGAAAACAATATTGATGGTTTGATACAATTCTCAAATCACGTTTGCAGTCTTGTGGCTACCATCAAGTCGTTGAATTATGACGAACATCTGCAAAATCCTCAACTCATGCGTGATCTGATATACAAACTTCCAGACTTAGTGAAACTTCAATGGGGGAAGAAGTGATGAACAAGGACTGTCGTTCAAACCTCGAGGACTTCTCAAGTTGGATGAATCGAAAAGCATCAGCAGCCTGTCTTGTTAGTACCCCCTGACTGACCAAAATTGATTCTAAACCAAGACATGCCAATATTCCTTCTAGAAAATATGAAACTGCCCTTGTCTCGACAGATACTAACTCATTAGCTGAATATTTACATTGTCGAACTGAGGGACATATCATCATAAACTGCCCAAAACTGAAAGCTGACCCTGTAGACACTAGGTGGAGTGTGGTGACAAACCTAAAGTTATGCTTTTCTTGTCTGAAAGGTAACCACCAGACAATGAAGTGCCGAACAAGACGTCAGTGTGGAATAAAAGGCTGTAGAAGGTTCCATCACAAATTACTCCACAAAGATACACATACCTTTTCACCCGAGACTGAGCAATCAACACAAACTGCTTTCCAGAACGAAAATATAATGACTATCGGACATGGTGCTGCCAATGTTCTTCTCCGAATGGTGAAAGTCGGATTATATGGACATGAAAGGAGTTTGGAGATGAAGGGTCATCTGTAACTTTGATTGACCAGACTCTAGCAAGTAAACTTCACTAAGAAGGTGGATCACAGCCTCTCTGCCTGCACTGGACGAATGATCTTTCTTCACGTCATGAAACATCAACCTGCTTGAACTTGAACATATCAGGAACATACGAGGGATCCAAGGAGTATTCTCTCAAAAACGTTAGGACAGTCGAAAATTTATCTTTACCAATGCAAACTATCAAAAAAGAAGATTGGGAACAATACCCTTATTCAATAGGCATTCCATTCAACGAAATAGATGATTGTCCGATGATTCTGTTGGGACAAGATAATATAAGACTGACTATAGCCGGAAAAGTTATCCAGAAAGCTGAAACTTCACCATTAGCGACAAAAGCAAACCTAGGCTGGATTTTACATGGAAATTCAGTAGGGAATGAAAATCCATCTGTTTCTTTCCATACCTGAAGCTCGGAAATGTCCGACGATGAATTACATCAACTGGTCAAGCAGTCGTTCACTACAGATGCTTTTGGTGTAGTACCAGTTCAGACTAAATTCAATAAAGAAGAAACAAGAGCCATACAGATTATGCAAGAGACTGCTAGAAGAGTCGATGATGGGAGGTATGAGATAGGCCTTTTATGGAAGAGAGATAATTTGCAGCTACCCACGAGTAAAGCAGTAGCAATCCGACGACTAGAATGCATAGAAAGGCAAATGCAGAAAGATTAAAACTTGAGGCTTCGATATTGTGAAAAGATCGCCAGTTATGTCGAAAAAGGCTATGCAAGAAAACTATCGTTACATCAAGTGAACAAATATGTTCCTAGATGCTGGTATTTACCACATTTTGGAGTAGTCAATCCAAAAAAGCCCAGTTAGTTTCGACGAGTTTTCGACGCGGCCGCGAAGTCACAAGGTATGAGCTCAAACGACAATCTGCTCTCTGGTCCAGACCTTTTGCAATCTCTTGTTGATGTTCTCTTGAGATTCCGCCTCCGGAAAATTGCCTTTCGTGGAGACATACGCGAGATGTTCCATCAGATCAGAATTATCGAAGAAGATCAACACTCTCAACGGTTTCTATGGCGAGATGGTGACATGAGCAAGTCCTATGACGAATATGTGTAATGCAAGTTATGACTTTTGGTGCAACCTGTTCACCAACCTGCGCTCAGTTCATCAAGAATTTGAATGCTGAACAACTGACGAACGATCAAAGAGTACTCGATGCCATCACCAGAAAGCATTATGTCGATGACTATCTAGATTGTGCGGATACAATCGAAGATGAAGCCATGAAAATGATCATGGAAGTCAAGAGAGTCCAAAAACTAGGTGGGTTCGAGTTGGTTGGCTGGATATCGAATTCAAAAGAGGTGATGGATATTTTGTCCAAAGACCTAACGACTTGCAAAGACCTGAATTTGAATTTCGACTCTTCTATCCAACGAGTCCTAGGCTTGACGTGGAATTCTGAGGAAGACACATTCTGCTTCAGATTGGACAAAATTCAAAGACGGAAACGAAGACATATGTAGACCGACGAAAAGGCAGATACTGAAGATCGTCATGTCAGTATTCGATCCTCTGGGGTTCATTGTCAATTTCACGATCAAGGCGAGGATACTCATCCAAGATATTTGGAGAACGTGCATAGGCTGGGACGACAGTATAGACGACAAGCTATATAGAACATGGACTTATTGGAAGAAAGACCTTCTGAAGATAGAAGAAATTGCTATTCCCAGATGCTATTCTTTGGCAGTTCCAGAATCCTACACGCGACAGTTGCACGTTTTTTGTGATGCGAGCAAGAAAGCATTCGCCGCTGCAGCTTACCTCCGAATTCTGTCTGAAAAAGGAATTGACGTCTACTTGGTGATGGCTCGAGCAAGGGTAGCACCTACGAAGCCAATCTCGATTCCGCGATTGGAGCTCCAAGCTGCACTCATGGGTAGGTAGTCGACTAGCCAAGACAGTAAGAAGTACTCTAGACATAGAAATTGGTGAAACCTCCTTCTGGTCAGACTCGACTACAGTTTTGTATTGGATGCGGGGTGATGCCACAAAGCTCGGACAGTTCGAAGCCCATCGTATCGGAGAAATACAAGAACTCACGAATTCTGAAAACTGGCATTGGATTCCTTCAAAACTAAATGTCATACATACATACAGCAAAGATGAAACCATTAATTTTGAAGTATGGCTAAGAGGCCCAGAATTTTTATACACTGTTGATCAAGAATTATGGCCAAGGAATTGTATCGAGGTCTATGCACCAGAATCAACAGAGTTACATGATGAACATGTTCTGATATCGACTTCTACAGAGAAAATATCATATTTGCCTGACATCGAACGTGTTTCCAAATGGTTGCGATTAATTAGATCCACAGCATTCGTATTGAGATTCAGAAATAGTATTCTTGCAAAAGTTAAAAAAATGAATGAATCATTCTCCAACAATCAAATTGTTGCAGAATTAGAAGAAGCTGAACAGCTTTGGGTATGATTGTTTCAAAA